CAGGCAGGAAACACAGCTACTCTTCAACGTTTAATTTTATCTGTATGTTATTTAGTTGGTTAAAAAACGTCTAAGACCATGTTTTTAGCGCTACCTATGTTTTTGATATATAATTATACTCCTTCACACAAAGATCATCTATAATACTGCTTAAAATTTGATTAAACGGCATTCTGTAGATAACAATATACCCATTATTAAGCTTATTATGCATTGTGAGGAAAAAGAGGAATTAAAAACTCAGCTTCTACTAAAAATCAGGTCTTGTCTTTCTTATCTATTACCAAAAAGTGAAAAACCTATCAAGAATTAGATAAGATCCGGTATTTCTGGAATACTGTTGCTGATGGAAAAAGGTATGACACACTATTTTATAGTTTGGATGCAATAATAGCAATAGGATACCGAGTTAATTCTAAAAAAGCAGCACGGTTTAGAATATGGGCTACAAATGTCTTGAAGGAGTTTATTATAAAGGGATTTGCATTAGAGCGTAGATTTTACCAAAAAATTAAGGACATTTATGCTGAATGTTCTACGGATTATTATTTCAATTCGGAAGCAACTCCATGCAAAGGTACAAAATAGATTGTATTGGGCAATAAGTTGAAGCAGAGATTAGAAAAGAATTTAAAAAATATAGGATTATATAAGATAAATCATATACTTACCATCAACATAACCACCACAGTGAACTTAACGAACTACTTTTATAACCACAGTAAAAGGGTTAATACGATAACCATGTGATGACCTAGACCAACCAACTGTTTGAATCACATCATTACGTTCAATGTTTAATCCTAACTTTTTGGCTAGAGCAGTCTTTATTGTTCTTTGAATTGTGTTTAGTGGTTTTCTAATGTGATGTTCTGGGTCTGCTTCTATCTCAAGATTTAAACGCTGTTCCAATTCATGAATGCTGAGTAAAGTGTATTTTTCAGGCAGTAATTCTTCTCCACAGTCATGTAAAAACTGCTTAAATAATACTCTAAAAACATTAATACATGTACTAGCTTTTTCATCTATAATCTTAATGTTGTTAATATATATTGTACCCTCCACCATCTGTAACGCCAATAATTTTCTCTCCTTAGCCGGTTCAACACGCTTAAGTGGAACGTATGCAGTATGTAAGACTTGCATCGAAGTATTTGGTATTAATTCCGGCACTCCTTTTTCTACTGCTTCTTGAAATATTTCAATTAAAGTCTTACGTTGGCAAAATAGGTCAACCATTTCTACTGTAGGCAAATTAAGAGGTATATCTGGTATGTTTTTTCTCAGTATCACTAATATAGTTGGATTGACTCTGAGCCTATCTATAGTCAAAAACGTTTGATCAGTGCAAAAATCAAGAATGATTAAACTTACAAACTTACCTTGTCCACTAATGTAATAAATGCCATTTTCTACTCTTTGCCAGATGAAATTCGTGTTACGTAGCTGACTTTCAAACCAGCCCATAATCTTTTCCGGATTTAAATACACAGATAAGCGGTAAAATCTTTGCTTCTTATAGGTGTTAGGTAAAATATCACGGTTACAATTTTCACAAATTATATTATCGCATGCTTCATCAAAATCTTGATCGATGAGAATCTCGTTGCTACAGTATGGATCAACCACGTTTAGCCAATCTAATTTATCTTGTCTATAGGAGCAAATAATGTAGTACGTTTCTCGCATCTTGATTAATTCAAGATCTGATAAATACTTTGCTGCTTTGATATAATTTTGATTTGGGTTAACCCAATAGCCACCAGAACTAAGAAGGTCAGAGATTTGCTCTTGACAAGATTGTAAGACCATAAGACTGTTTCATATAAACTTTAAAATCTTCCCTTTCCTTTTTATTCAAGGGATGTTCGGAATAATAAATTGCTATGTATTCACCACTTGTCTTAAAAAATAATCCTATCTTTTTGCCTCGAAATATTATTTTTACAGATTCAGTGGATTTTAGTATATTGCCAACAGAAGGATGTAAAATATAGAGCTCAGATGTAATTGAATCATGCAGTGCAACGGTTAAAGTAATGTGAGTGTTACTATGCTTGAAACGGTCTGACTGAAACCTTAACTCAAACGTGAATATATTAGGATCAGAGCCATCAATGCAAACTTTAATAAACTTATATACTTGTTCTGCAAAGTTTTTATCCTGTATATTTACAAAGGTGCATTCACAGCTAAAGTAACGACTTGCAATGCTATTCGCTATTTCTGTAGCTTGATCAATATTTTTAGCACCAAGATCTACTTGAGAGCCACTGACTAGAAAATCCAAAATCATCCAATCTGGCTTATAGCCATGAATAACTTTGTTTGAGTTTAGAAGTAAATCTATATCACTAGCTCTACGTATTAACACATATAAACGGTTTTGATGGTAAAATAAACCTTGTAATTGATTTTCAAAACCATCATTTCGTTTAATGTCATCTTCTTTCAGAATCTGCTCTATAACTTCCTGTGATATGAAGTCTTTAAAAGGAATATTTGGTTGTCGCGGTGTTTTTTGTAGGGCAAATGATACAGAACCTTTTCTTTGTATTTTTTCAAAGTGATAGACAGACTTTAAAAGATTATGATCTACATGAAACAGTAGAAACAACAAAGACTTTTTATCATGTTTATTGTTATTTTTTATAAGATAAGATTTCATCAGTTCTTTAGTCAATGCAGATCTTGCAATTTCACTGACAGTAACTTCTAGCTTAGCACGGTCAAAACAGGTAATTAAGTAGTAAGTCACTAGGGAATCGGAATGGTTAGCAATCACTTTACGCTTATATTGCACAGATGTGTTATCGTAGTTTTCATCATCAAAAAGTTGACCATTTAGTTTACCTTTGAAGAAATTTTGAAAAATAATATTTAATTGCCTACCAGAAAGTGAATCTATCCAAGATTGACGTATTTCTGCATTATAAAAACGCTCAAGTAAAAGGTTAACGGGCATTTCTAAATCATCTTCCCAGAATTTACAGCTTGGATAAATTTCCATAAGAAATTAAGTTGAATCGTATTGCATAATAGGATACCTATATTGTCAGGCAAGAAATTCAAATATTTCCAAGTATAATTCATGTTATGCAATAGTTGTTTACTAATTTTTAACCTATATAAAAGTTTGTGTAAGTAGAAGATTTTTTGGACAAAAATTTTTCGAATCCTGAATATATATTGTATAAGCTCAAAACTTTAACAGCAGATGTCAATTTTAACACTTGATCTCGGGCAACAAACCGGCTGGACAATTTTAAAGAATGGAGTAATTGAAAGTGGAAGTGAGAGTTTTCATTCTGGAGGACTCAACGGTAAGCTCTATTCAAAGTTTCGTAGATGGCTCGAGAACAAACTCCAAGGCATATCAGAGGTATACTTTGAAAAAGTAGTAAGGCATTTAGGAACCTATGCAGCACATCACTATGGAGGGTTTCTGGCTCACTTAGCTGCTTGCTGTGAAGAGAGTAATATTCCTTTTCAAGGTGTACCTATTAAAACCATTAAACGTTTCATAGCAGGAAATGGTAATGCAACTAAAGACCAAGTTATTGAAGCTGTGAGAAAGAAAGGCTTTTTCCCTTGTGACGATAATGAAGCTGATGCACTGGCTCTGATGTTTTATGTGCAAAGTAATTATTTAAATATCAATAAAGATATTAACGCAATACACCTTTCAGGAGAACAGAAAAAATTTACAAAGGATTAATAATCGATGAAAATGTTTAATATATTAAGTATTGATATTAGCTATAGTATTGATATAGTGGTATTATTTGTGGGTCCTTTCCATAACGAAACTCACGTGGTTGGCGAAGGGCTCGGGTGTTTTCTAGCGTTAGAATGATTTTGAATATTGACTATTTTATCAGTCTATTAATTTCTTAAACTATGAATTTGGAACTTCAATATTACCCTGTCGAAAATCTCATCGAATACGACCGCAATCCCCGTAAAAACGACGTTGTGGTGAACAGAATGTGTGCCTCTATTCGAGAGTTTGGCTTTCGTATTCCCATAGTTGCCAAAAGCGATGGTACGGTGGTTGATGGTCATTTAAGACTAAAAGCAGCAAGAAAACTTGGCATGGAGAATGTTCCTGTGGTTCTAAGTGATAATTTAAGCGAAGCACAGACTAAAGCATTTCGTATTTTGGCCAATCAATCAGCTAATTGGGCAGCTTGGGACGATGATCTCTTAAAACTAGAACTTCAGGATCTTGAAGATTTAAATTTTGATCTCAAGTTAACTGGGTTTGAACTAGAAAAAATCCAACGCTTTCTTGATGATGAAGATAAAGAGGAGGAAAAAGATCTTGCTGATTTTAATGAACACAGTTGTAAAAGCAAGCCAGTAGTCACAAAACCAGGAGATTTATGGATTCTAGGTGATCATAAAATTTACTGTGGTGATAGTCAAGTAATTGATTCATTTAAAGTGGTCTTGGGTGATAAAATGGCTGACATTACCGTTTGTGACCCACCTTATAACGTTGATTACGGTGCTAGCCAGGAAAGAGATGATCGAAAAATACTTAATGATGATCAAGGAGAAAAGTACGAATTGTTCCTCTATGATGTTTGTGCTAATATTTTAGCATATACCAAAGGGGCAATTTACATTTGTTCGTCATCATCTGAACTTGCTACGCTGCAAAAGGTATTTGAAGAAGCAGGAGGACGTTGGTCAACATTTATCATCTGGGCAAAGAATCATTTTACGATAGGAAGAGCTGATTACCAAAGGCAGTATGAAGCAATACTCTATGGCTGGAAGAATGGAAGTAAACGTCAGTGGTATGGGGGTAGGAGCCAAAGTGACTTGTGGTCTTATGATAAACCTGCTTACAACTCACTACACCCAACAATGAAGCCTGTAGAGCTAATGGAGCGAGCAATAATAAATAGCAGTAGACCAGGTGATATAGTACTTGATCCATTTAGTGGCTCAGGAAGTACATTGATTGCATGTGAGAGAACAGGAAGAATCTGTAGAGCAATAGAGCTTGATCCTAAATTTGTAGATGTAACCATAAAGCGTTGGCAAGTATATACAGGAAAAGAAGCAATACTCTCTGGTACTGACAAGACTTTTCTTCAAATTCAAAAACAACTTCAAGCAGCAGAATAGGAGAAAGAGGTTATGAGATTGATTACACAAACAGAGTTTGCAAAAGAAATAGGAGTTTCCAAACAATATGTCTGTTATTTAGTAAAACAAGGGATTGTAGAGCTGAAAAATGGTCTAGTGGATTCAGAACAAGCAAATGAAGCACTTGCAATGACTCGTGATCCAAGTCAACCACTGAGGAGAAAGGGTGGTGAAAACTATGGAAACGGTAAAAGTAGAAAAAGTACAAATGAGCTTGCGACCATGCTCCTTAAAACTCGAATTAAGAACGAAGTAGAACGAGGTAAGTTACTTGAAGCAAAGGCAAAAGCTGAAATTGGTGAACTTGTTTCAATAGAAGAAGTAAAGAGTGAAGCCTTTAATACTGCAAGAGTGGTAAGAAATAACCTTCTAAATATTCCAGATAGAGTTTCAGCACTTCTTGCATCGATGGATAAGGCGGAAAAGATTCATGAGAAGCTAGCAGAGGAAATCTCCAATGCGTTAGAAGAACTATCTAAACAACACTCTGCATGAAAATCAAAAGTTAATAGAGCTATTACTCAAGGAAAAAAGTATAGTGTTATTTGCGAGAGACAAGAACGTTCCTACATTCCATGTTTTAAATAAAAAATACTTGAAAGAGAGAAAAATAGCCGACAGAAGGGTAAAAAGATACAACAATGTTATTTACATTAGCGTTGCAACATGTGCAATAGGATTAGTAGCAGTCTATCCTCACATTGGAATTACAATGATTATAGGAGTACTTAAACTGATAATAGCAATAGAAAAGATCAAATGAACTAGAAGCAAATGAAGCACTCAATGACGTTGAAATAAAAACACCTATGGATAGATATGTAGCAGCTTTTTATGCAGGATTAAAGCCAGATTCGCCGCTTAAAGTATCAGAATGGGCAAATGAATATCGAGTTCTCTCACCTACTGCAGCATCTGAACCAGGAAAATGGAGAACAGAGAGAACACCATACCTAAAAGAAATAATGGATGCACTTTCACCATCTTCACCAGTTGAAAGAGTGATATTGATGAAAGGAGCACAGATTGGAGGAACAGAAGCTGGAAACAACTGGATTGGCTATATTATCGATCAAACACCAGGACCAATGCTAGTAGTGCAACCAACAGTTGAGATGGGAAAACGTTGGTCTAAAGGAAGATTTGCACCACTGATAGAAAGCACACCTNACAGAAGCTGGAAACAACTGGATTGGCTATATTATCGATCAAACACCAGGACCAATGCTAGTAGTGCAACCAACAGTTGAGATGGGAAAACGTTGGTCTAAAGGAAGATTTGCACCACTGATAGAAAGCACACCTTGTTTAAAAAGTAAAGTAAAAGACCCAAGATCAAGAGATTCAGGTAATACTGTGCAAAGTAAAGAATTTCCAGGTGGAATAGTAGTAATAACTGGAGCAAATAGTAGTGTAGGTCTGAGATCTATGCCAGTGAAATATCTCTTTCTTGATGAAATTGATGCATATCCAGGGGATTCAAGTGGTGAGGGAGATCCTGTTTTGCTTGCAATTGCCAGAACTAACACTTTTACTCGGCGAAAGATTTTTCTTGTATCAACGCCAACAGTGCATGGAATGAGTAGAATAGAAAAAGAATTTGGAGAGTCAGATAAACGTTATTTCTTTGTGCCATGTCCACATTGTAATCACTATCAAGTATTAAAATGGTCACAAATTAAGTGGGAAAACAATGATGCAAAAACAGCACATTATGTGTGTATTGAATGTAGCGGTAAAATAGAAAATCATCAAAAGATAGAAATGCTTTCAAAAGGTGAATGGAGAGCTACTAATCCAATAGATAATAACAAAGTGATGGGGTTTCATTTATCGAGCTTATACAGTCCAGTAGGTTGGTACAATTGGGATCAAGCAGTAGAAGGTTTTTTGCATAGCAAAGATAATGAACAACTACTGAAAGTCTGGATAAATACCACACTTGGAGAAACCTGGGTTGATAGAGGAGAAGTACCAGACTGGAAACATCTTTTTGAGCGCAGAGAAACTTACCCAATTGGCACGATACCAAAGAGCGAAGTAATCTTGACTGCTGGAGTTGACGTACAAAAAGACAGAATTGAAGTAGAGGTTGTAGCATGGGGAAAAGGACGAGAAAGCTGGTCAATAGATTATCAAGTATTTGAAGGAGATCCAGGAACTGATGTTGTGTGGAATAAATTATCAGAGTTATTGAATCATCATTTTATAGGAGCAAATGGACTGGAATACAAAATGAGCATGATGGCAGTAGATGCAGGATATGCAACACAAGAAGTATATAATTGGGTGAGAAGTCATCAAGGGTCTGGCAGAGTAATGGCAGTGAAGGGAGTAAATAAAGCCTTAGTACCGCTAAGTAGCCCAAGTAGAGTAGATATAACGGTTAGCGGGAAAAAACTACGCAGAGGAATGAAACTCTGGCCAGTAGGAGTATCAATATTAAAGTCAGAGTTGTTTCAATTACTCAATATTTTACAAAATGAGGAAGGATGCCCACCTGGATATTGTCATTTTCCGCAATACTCGCCTGAATATTTTAAACAGCTAACAGCCGAACAATTAATTACCAAAGTGGTAAAAGGATATACCAAACAAGAGTGGCAAAAAATAAGAGAACGCAATGAAGCACTAGATTGTCGAATATATGCAAGAGCAGCATCTATTGCCCTTGGAATTGATCGTTGGCAAGAGTCTAAATGGAGCAGTTTGAGTGAGAAGAATGAAGGAAAAAAGAAATCATCAAAGGTAAGAAAAAGTCAGTGGTTATCTGAGAAATAAAGATGTACACACAAGAATATCTAACTCAAGTTGAAGAAGCAATAGAGAAATTACAAAGCGGTGAACGAGTGGTTTCAATTGCGTATGGTGACCATGTGGTGAGATATGCAGAAGTACAGATAAATGATCTTTTAAATTTGAGGCAGAGAATAAAAGCTGAGTTGAAAATAGCAGGTATGAAGCCAAAGAGGAGAATTGTTTTTTCAACGAGTAAAGGAATCATATAATGGTAGAAATCGTTAAAAGAAACACATGACAAGAATTATAGCAAAAGAATACACAGAGTTTTTAGAGCAGCTTAAAGACCGCATTGCAACTAGTCGTTATAAGGCAGCAAAAACAGTAAATAAAGAACTATTACTACTTTATCATTATATTGGCACACAAATTCTAGAAAAACAAAAAGACCAGAATTGGGGATCTAAAGTAGTTGAGCAGTTAAGTAAAGACTTAAAGGCTGAATTTCCCGAAATGAAAGGTTTTGGTATTTCTAACCTGCATAATATGAGGCGATTCGCAGAACTTTATCCAGATTTTGAATTTCTCCAGCAAGTTGCTGGAATATTACCATGGTATCATCATGTTGTTTTGATGGAGCGAGTAAAGGAGCGTAAAGCAAGGCTTTTTTACATACAAAATGCCTCAGAATATGGTTGGTCTCGTTCTATTCTTATGCACCAAATAGAGCTTGGCCTTAATAAGCGACAAGGAAAAGCTGTTACAAATTTTAAGGAAAAATTGCCTTCACAAACATCAGACTTAGCAAATCAGACTCTCAAGGATCCATACATTTTTGATTTTTTAAGCATAGGAAAGGATGCCCATGAAAGAGAAATAGAGAAAGGATTAGTAGAACATATTGAGAAATTCCTTATGGAACTAGGAGCAGGCTTTTCTTTTGTTGGGCGTCAATATCATTTAACAGTAAGGAGCAAGGATTACTATTTGGATCTACTGTTCTATCACTTGAAGCTGCGTTGTTTTGTAGTAATAGAGATTAAAGCAGTTGAGTTTGAGCCAGAGCATTCTGGTAAGATAAACTTTTACTTATCAATAGTAGATGACTTACTAAAACATCCAACAGATAATCCTTCGATCGGTTTGATTTTATGTAAATCTAAGGATAATGTCCTGGCTGAATATGCACTACGAGACATGACAAAGCCAATAAGCCTTGCTGAGTACAGAATAACTGAAAATCTACCAGAGAATATAAAAACAGCCCTGCCAACAATAGAAGAATTAGAGGCTGAGTTATCCAAGATTGCAAATAGAGAAGAATTAACAAATGTAGTAGTAGACCTCTCCAATTGGAATGAGAATGTAAATTTCAAGATAGCAAAAGAAGACGGAATATTAGGTGTAATACATAAGGCAACACAAGGGTTGAAATATGTAGATCCAAAGTATGCAGAGAGAAGAAAAGAAGCTGAAGATTTGGGACTTTTATGGGGAGCATATCATTTTGGTGTTGGAGAAAGTGGAGGAAAGGATCAGGCTAATCATTTTTTAAAAACAGTTGGTGAAACTAAAAATACTATTCTTGTTCTTGATATTGAAGAGAATCAAAATGGAAAAAATATAGAACCAAGAGAAGCAGAGGATTTTGTTGAAGAAGTCTTAAGAATGACAGGACGCCTTCCGTTAATTTATGGCAGTAGATATTTTTTAGAAGGTTTTTCAACACCAACTTTAACGAAATGTCCATTATGGATTGCAAAATGGGGAGAAGAACCAATTTTACCAAAAGGATGGAGTGACTGGATTTTATGGCAATATACAGATGGAAAAACAGCTCATGAAGTAAAGGGAATAGGGAAATGTGATCGAGATAAATTTAACGGGACATTGAAAGAGTTGAAAAAATTTTGGTTATCAGGAGGAGTATGCTGCTGAAAACTTTTAAACAACTATTTAACAAAGCAAAGATTAAAAGCTCGGCATGGGATGCATCTGGATCTGGGCGAAGAGTGATGTATTGGCAACCGGAGAAGAGCAGTATAAATAGCTTACTTTCGCATAATCTAGAAACTCTGCGTAGTAGATCTCGTGACATGGTGAGAAAGAACCCATATGCAGCAAATATAATAGATACGATAGTGAGTAATTGCGTTGGCACGGGAATAAAACCACAATCAAAAGCCAAGAATGCTGAGTTCAGAAAGAAAATTCAAGAATTATGGCTATGTTGGACAGATGAAGCAGATAGTAATGGAGTTAGTGATTTCTATGGATTACAGGCTCTGGTTTGTAGAAGCATGATTGAAGGTGGTGAGTGTTTTGTACGTTTAAGGAATCGCAAACCTGAAGATGGACTTTCTGTCCCTTTGCAGTTGCAAGTGCTTGAATCTGAGCATTTAGACAACAAAGGCAATCAAACTTTAGCAAATGGCAATATAATACGAAATGGTATTGAATTTAATAAACTTGGGCAAAGAGAAGCGTATTACCTATTTAGAGAACACCCAAGTGAAGGATCATTTGGAGAATCAGTTCGAGTACCTGCAAGTGATGTGTTGCATATTTATAAACCCTTGAGACCCGGGCAAATAAGAGGAGAACCATGGCTATCTACGGTACTTTTAAAACTTTATGAACTTGATCAATACGATGATGCAGAGCTGGTAAGAAAGAAAACTGCAGCGATGTTTGCAGGATTTATTACACGACTTGATCCTGAAGCAAATATTATGGGAGAAGGTGAATCAAATGAGCATGGAGTAGCACTATCGGGGTTAGAACCAGGCACTATGCAGCTTTTAGATCCAGGAGAAGATATCAAATTTTCAGAGCCTTCGGACGTTGGAGGAAGTTACGAAGCATTTATGAGACAGCAGCTAAGAGCTATAGCAATTGGCATGGGAATAACTTATGAACAACTGACAGGAGATCTAACAAACGTAAATTATTCTTCAATCAGAGCAGGACTGATAGAGTTCAGAAGGAGATGTGCAATGCTACAGCACAATATAATGGTATATCAATTTTGCCGACCAGTGTGGAATAGATGGATAGAGTTGGCTCTGTTATCTGGTGCTACAAAAGATAATAAGACGCTAAAAGAAGTAAAATGGATACCACAGGGATTTGATTGGGTAGATCCATTAAAAGATCAGCAAGCACAGCAAATGGCAGTGAGAAATGGATTTAAAAGTAGATCAGAAGTAGTTTCAGAACTTGGCTATGACGTAGAAGAAATTGACCAAGAAATTGCTGAAGACCAGAAACGAGCTGATTTTTTCAACCTTTCTTTTGATTCAGATACACGAAATTAGTTATGGAAAGAAATACAACATATTTGAATAAACCAATGATGGTAGAGCAAAAAAGCTTTGATTTGCTGTCATTGTATAACGGAAAACAGCCTATCTATAAAAATATAAAACATGAAGTAAATAATGATGTTGAAAAAACTGCGATTATACCAATTCATGGAATTGTGACTAAAAAACCAGGAGCTTTTGATGATTTTTTGGGAATGACATCATATGAAAGGATTCAAGGGCAGATAGAAGAAGCGTTAGCAGACAAAGATATAGAGACAATTTTACTTGATATAGACAGCCCTGGAGGGGAAGTAAACGGAGTCTTTGATCTAGCTGATTTTATTTATGAAGCAAGAAAGGAAAAGAACATTGTGGCAATGGCCAATGATGATGCCTACTCTGCAGCATATGCAATAGCTTCAAGTGCTGAGAAGGTTTTCATTAGCAGAACTTCAGGAGTAGGAAGCATAGGAGTAATAGCAAGTCATATAGATCAAAGTGGATTCGATGAAAAACAAGGAATAAAATACACGACAGTCTTTGCTGGCAAAAGGAAGAATGATTTAAATCCGCATGAAGCAATTAATTCAGAAAGTGTAGAAAGTCTGCAGAAAGAGGTGAATCGTTTATATGAAATGTTTGTTCAGCTTGTAGCACGCAATAGAAATCTTTCTGTAGAAGCAATCAAATCAACAGAAGCAGGGCTATATTTTGGAGAAAAAGCAATAGAAATAGGACTTGCTGACAAAATAACAACCTTAAATGAATTTATTAATAAAGGAGAAAAAACTATGACAGAGCAATCTGAAACTAAAGAACAAGCTGCTAATACACAATCAGATGATTTTTTTGAGAAATACTACAAATATCGAGCTAAAGTGTCAGAGATAGCGCATTTATGTAGAGCATCACATATGCCAGAGAAGTTATTAGAGTTTGTGGAACAAGGTGTGAGTGTAGAACAAGCGAGGGAAATTTTAATGTCAATACTTGCAGAGCGGACGATGAAAGCAGAAATTTTAAGTACGTTACCACAAAACTCATCAGAGGATCTGGTAATACAAGCGGCTAAAGCTCGTGCAAAACTGGCCATTTAAAACACTTTATAAGTTGCATATTTTTTACCGCGGCGAATAGCAACTACAAATTCCGCGGTAAAGCTAAAAATTAAAAGGGGAAACAATGATAACTATAACAGAATCGAATAATCTAGGAGACCTTTTGAAATATGAGGCATCAAGTCTTTACTCAAGAGATCAAGTAACTGTAGCGAAAGGACAGAACCTTAGTCTAGGAGCGGTGGTTGGAAAAAAAACAGATGATAATTTAATTAAAGTTCTAAATCCAATAGCCACGGACGGAACACAAACTGCCGTAGGGGTCATAACAAGAGATGTAGATGCAAAAGCAGCAGATACCAAAGCAGTAATAATCACGCGGATAGCCATGCTAGCTGATCATGCAGTTGTCTGGCCAGCAACGATAACTGAAGAGCAAAAAGCTACGGCAATAAAACAACTAGAAACCCGAGGAATCATTCTCAGAAAGGGAGTGTAAAACCTTTATTATAGGAGCAAAAGCTCTAGAAACTTGTGCTCAGAAAGGGAGTGTAAAACCTTTATTTAAAAGTTACAAGCTACACAAACAAAAATCACACAAACCACAACTTATCAAACAAGGAGTATCAAAATGATGAGTAATCCATTCTCAAATGCAGCATTTAGTATGACTGCGTTAACTGGTGCAATTAACATTCTGCCAATAAATTTTGGTCGAACAGAAAGTTTAAAATTATTTCCCAGCAAATCAGTGAGGTTTAGAAGTATAGCAATAGAAGAGCAAAACGGAGTTCTGAGTCTACTGCCAACCCAAGTACCCGGAGCACCAGCAACAGTGGGAAAAAGAGGAAAAAGAAAGGTAAGAACATTTACAATACCACATATTCCCCATGACGATGTAGTATTGCCGGAAGAAGTGCAAGGAATCAGGGCGTTTGGCTCAGAGAACGAACTAAAAGCTTTGGCAGAGGTGATAACTGACCATTTACAGTTGATGAGAAATAAACACTCTATAACGTTAGAACATCTGCGTATGGGAGCATTGAAGGGAATAATTTTGGATGCCGATGGTAGTGAGCTGCTGAATCTTTATACTGCATTTGATATTACACCGAAAGTAGTAAATTTTGCCCTAGGAACAGCAACCACCGATATAAAAAGGAAGTGTTTAGAGGTATTACGTCACATAGAAGATAATCTAAGTGGTGAATATATGACAGGAGTACATGCACTTGTCAGCCCAGAATTTTTTGACGCATTGACATCACATACTAAGGTAAAAGAAGCATATGAGAGGTGGCAAGAAGGAGCAGCTTTAAGGAACGATATGAGGTCAGGATTTACATTCTGNTTTACATTCTGTGGGATTACCTTTGAGGAATATCGAGGGCAAGCAACGGATCCAGAAGGCAATGTAAGAAGGTTCATTGAAAAGGATACTGGGCATTGTTTTCCACTAGGAACAGCAAATACATTTACGACATATTTTGCACCAGCAGATTTCAATGAAACGGTAAACACTCTAGGACAACCACTTTATGCAAAACAAGAGCCAAGAAGGTTTGATCGAGGAACAGATTTACATACGCAATCTAATCCACTACCAATGTGTCATCGACCTGCAGTACTCGTTAAAGTTGTAGCTGCATAGACTCAATTGTAATCTCTATAAAAAATTGCAGACAGTTTTCAATATCTCAGAGTCAGAAATGAGTAAATTCATAGACCTATTTTGCGGAATAGGAGGTTTTCGCGTAGCATTAGAAAGGGAAGGCATGGAATGCGTTTTTTCTTGCGATATAGATGAAGATGTGTGCGAAGCTTATTATCAAAACTTTAAAGATAGGCCAAGAGGAGATATTACTAAAATCAAAGCTAAAGAAATACCTGATCATGATATTTTGTGTGCTGGCTTTCCATGTCAGCCTTTCAGCATTGCAGGAAAGAGGAAAGGAATGAGAGAAGTGAATAATGGTAGGCTATTCTATGAAATTATAAGAATAGCTGAAGCTAAGGGACCTGTAATAATGTTGCTTGAGAACGTTAAGAATATTTTAAGCATAGATAACGGCAACGTAATAAAAACTCTGGAAGCAAAGCTGAACGAAATAGGGTATAAAGTTGAAAAACACGTTTTGAACGCTTCTTACTTTGGTATTCCGCAAGCAAGAGAAAGAGTGTACTTTGTCTGCTTAAGAAAAGATGCACAGGAACTTAAATATGAACCGCCAAAGGAAACAAATGAAAGAATATATCTTGAAAATATCTTAAATGAAAACCCTCCAGAAAACCTATTTATCAATAGAGAAGACATACTAATAGAGAAGGAATTACCGAAAGAAAGGCAGTTAAAGCCGATTCGAGTTGGAATAGTGAATAAAGGAGGACAAGGAGAGAGAATATACAGTCCTTTAGGTCATGCTATAACTTTATCAGCGTATGGTGGAGGCATTGGAGCAAGAACCGGTCTATATTATATCAATGGTCGAGTTCGTCGCCTATCTATTGAAGAATGCAAAAGGCTAATGGGATTTGGCAGTGACCATTTTGTATCAAAAGGATATCAGCAATT